TTGTTCTATTTCATTCAATTCTTCCCTACCCCTTTGACCCTTGGGGATAAAATCGGGGGATAAAATCCACCCCAAAAAAGCCGCTCACCGCTCGCAGCAGCAGAAGACGGAGCAGGCGGAGGCGCTGTCGCGTCGATACTTCCCCGATTTGGGGCTGTCCTGGCACTGGGCGATGTAGGCGTGGAGCTGGGACACGGGCGCTTCGCCTTCACACTGGTGCTGGGGTTTGGGGGGGGACAAAGCAGGACCCTGAATCCCTCCAGTTTTGCCCCCCCCCAAAAAGAAAGGGGGAAATGATGAGATTCAGGGCCCAAAAACCCACGGGAAATGTTTGGGGTGGGGATGACCTTGGGCTGACCTTGATGGTTTCGTAGGAGCCGGTGATGAGGGCGATGAAGAGGCTGAGGACCATGTAGATGAAGAGGCTGATGAAGGTGTAGAGGTAGATCTGGCTGAAGAGCCACACCAGGTAACTGTTCTGCTGCATCTCAGCGAAGGTGACGAACATGTCGTCCCCGTTGATGAGAGAGAAGAGGCACTCGGACACCATGGACAGGGAGCGGAACTGGGATGGGAGGGGATGAAGGGACGGGAGGTGACACAGGGCCTTGGCCACCAGGTCAACCCCTCCATTGGGTGGTGGGATGGACCCAAACTGGGACCCTATGGGGTCAATCTGCACCCATCTTCCCCCAAATCCCAGCAGGGAGATGGGTTAAGCCACCCCAAGCACCCAACTGGGGCATCCTGATGTGGTAGGGACCAATAGGAACTCAGATGGGAGGTGACAAAGGGCCTTGGCCACCAGGTCAACCCATCCCAAACTGGGAATGGGCGCTCCCCAGTGCCCTATAGGGTCAACCCTGCGCCCATCTCTCCCAAAATCCCAGCAGGGAGATGGGTGAAGCCACCCCGAGCCCCCAACGTGGAGCACCTTGACGTGGTAGGGGCCAATAGGAACTGGGATGGGAGGTGACACAGGGCCTGGGCCACCAGATCAACCCCTCCATTGGGTGGTTGGATGGACCCAAACTGGGTCCCTATGGGGTCAATCCACACCCATCTTCCCCCAAATCCCAGCAAGGAACCATCCAGGGATGGGTGAAGCCACTTCAAGCATCCAACTGGGGCATCTTGATGTGGTGGGGACCAATAGGAACTGGGATGGGAGGAGACAAAGGGATGGGAGGTGACACAGGGCCTGGGCCACCAGGTCAACCCCTCCATTGGGTGGTTGGATGGACCCAAACTGGGTCCCTATGGGGTCAATCCTCACCCATCATCTCCCAAATCCCACTAAGGAACCACTCAGAGAACCAATAGGAACTGGGATGGGAGGAGACAAAGGGATGGGAGGTGACACAGGGCCTGGGCCACCAGGTCAACCCCTCCATTGGGTGGTTGGATGGACCCAAACTGGGTCCCTATGGGGTCAATCCCCACCCATCTTCCCCCAAATCCCAGCAAGGAACCACCCAGGGATGGGTGAAGCCACCCCAAGCACCCAACTGGGGCATCTTGATGTGGTGGGGACCAATAGGAACTGGGATGGGAGGTGACACAGGGCCTGGGCCACCAGGTCAACCCCTCCATTGGGTGGTGGGATGGACCCAAACTGGGATCCTATGGGGTCAATCTCTACCTATCTACTCCCAAATCCCACTAAGGAACCACCCAAAGGACCAAGAGGAACTGGGAAGGGAGGTGACAAAGGGCTGGGAAATGGCCTTGGCCACCAGGTCAACCCATCCCAAACTGGGAATGGGCGCTCCCCAGTGCCCTATAGGGTCACCCCTGCACCCATCTCCCCCTAAATCCCAGCAGGGAGATGGGTGAAGCCACCCCGAGCCCCCAACATGGAGCACCTTGACGTGGTAGGGGCCCAGCACGATCCACCCGCAGAAGCAGTAGCCCAGATAGATGACGGCCACGCAGCAGCAGAAGCGGATGACGTTGGGGAGCGCCACCCGCAGGGTGACGATGAGGATCTGCAGGAGGAAAACCAGGCGGGATTGACCAGCAGGTGTCAACCAGAGGGCACCCAACAGCTTCCCCCCAACCCCAAGGTCCCCAAAAGTGCAGGGTGGGACCTTGGGGACACGAAGGATGAGCCTGAGCTGGAAATTGTCCCCTCGGGTGGCAGGGTCCCCTCTCCGGTGTCACTCACGTTGTATTTTTGGAAGAAGGTGAGGTAGCGAATGACCCCGACCCACACCAGCAGCGTGGAGGTGCCCAGGAGGATGCTGCAGACATCGTAGCTGGCGAAATTCTGCGGGGACAGGGGCGTCACGGGCCTGTGGCACGGCCAACGCTGTCCCCGGCGCCATCCCCAATGGTCCCAGTGTCCTCCCAAATGTCCCCAACGTCCCCAATGTTCCTGTCATCCCCAATGTCCTCAATGTCCTCAGCATCCCTAATGTCCTCAACGCTCCCAATGTCTCCAACATCCCCAATGTTCCCAATGTCCTCAATGTCCCCAACATCCCCAGTGTCCCCAATGTCCTCCCCAATGTCCCCAACATCCCCAACGTCCCAAATGTTCCCAACATCCCCAGTGTCCCCAATGTCCTCCCCAATGTCCCCAACATCCCCAATGTTCCCATCATCCCCAACGTCCCAAATGTTCCCAACATCCCCAATGTCCTCAATGTCCCCAACATCCCCAGTGTCCCCAACGTCCTCAGCATCCCCAGTGTCCCAAACATCCCCAACGTCCCCAGTGTTCTCCCCAACGTCCCCAATGTCCCCATCATCCCCAATGTCCCAAATGTTCCCAACATCCCAAATGTCTCCAACATCCCCAATGTTCCCAATGTCCTCAATGTCCCCAACATCCTCCCCAATGTCCTCAATGTCCTCCCCAATGGCCCCAATGTCATCCCCAATGTCCCCAACGTCCCCAACATCCCCAATATCCTCAACTTCCCCAATGTCCTCCCCAACGTCCCCAATGTCCCCATCATCTGCAATGTCCCAAATGTTCCCAACATCCCGTGTCCTCAATGTCATCCCCAACGTCCCAAATGTTCCCAACATCCCCAATGTCCTCAATGTCCTCCCCAACATCCCCAATGTCTCCAACATCCTCAATGTTCCCAATGTCCTCAACGTCCCCAACATCCCCAATGTCCTCCCCAATGTCCTCCCCAATGTTCCCAATGTCCTCCCCAATGTCCCCATCATCCCCAATGTCCCAAATGTTCCCAACATCCCATGTCCCCAATGTCATCCCCAATGTCCCCAATGTCCTCAACATCCCCAATGTCCTCAACGTCCCCAATGTCCTCCCCAATGTCCCCAACGTCCCCAATGTCCTCCCCAACGTCCTCAATGTCCCCAACATCCCCAATGTTCTCAACATCCCCAACATCCTCAACATCCCCAGTGTCCTCCCCAATGTACCCAATGTCCCCAACAGCCCCAAACGCCACCCCTGAAGCCCTCACAACCCCTTGCACCACCCACGAGCCACAAGAGCAAGACAGGACCCTGCTCATCACTTTGATGCCACCTCCACATCCCAAAATGAAATGGGAGGACCCCGAGGACCTCCCCCAGGACCCATAAAACCTCCCTCACTGTGGCATCCCCGCACCTTGGACTCGATGCCGATCTTCATGATGGTCCCCAGGACGGTGAGGACGTCGCTGATGACCAGGAGGATGTACCACCCGTTGAGGAACTCCATGCGGTCCGACAGGCACACGCTCTGGTTGTAGCGGCGCCGGAAGAAGCGGCTGAACTCCTGCGCGGGGACCAAAAAAAAATGGGGGTAAAAACCCATCCTTTGGAGAGTTTTGTCCATCCTGTGTCACCTCCTGGGGCTCAGCAACCGATGGCGGTGGCCTTCAAGGTGAGGCCACCACCGGCTTCTAACACCTCAAGGACTACGGGGACCGCGCGGGTGACTCCTACACCCAAAGTGACCCCTACAACTGTGGGTTTTATGTGACATCCATGGGTTGAGGTGGTTTGGGGACACTGAGGTGGCTTGGGGACACCGAGGTGGCTTGGGGACACAGAGGGTGTCCCCTCCTCCAATTTTTGGCCATTCCCACTGAGACCATCGGCCGCTACACCCACGCGCGGCCTCCGCCGACGGTGCCGAAACAGCGTCCCGGTGGTGGCTCTGTCTGTCCCCACCGGTTTCGGTGACACCGCGGCGTCCCCCCTCACTCACGTGCTGCAGCATCAGCCCCCGGATGATGGAGCGGGCGCAGAGGATGAAGGACAAGGAGCAGACGAGGATGACGATGACGTCGAAGAACAACCGGAAGGAGTTGTCACCTGCAGAGACGCGCGGTGGCTCCTCTGAGTGAAGGGGACACCTTGAGTGACCCCTGTTGGGGACGGATGCCACCGCTGTCACCCTACCTCGGCCAAAAACGCTGGGGTCTTTGCACTCCTTGATGTCCGCCCGGTTGTCGAGGTGGATTTTCACCCGGCCGCTGTGCGCCTTGTTGTCAAACGTGATCTGGGGACGTGGAGGAGGGGACGTTGAGCACCCACGGAGGTCGTTGTCACCCCAACTGGGGTCGCCCCCAGGCACTCACGGTGATGGTGAAGGTGTAGCAGTCGGGGATCTCGTTGTTGATGATGGTTTGGATGTTGATGGCTTTCAGCTTGAACTGGATGGTGACGTTGATGAGCCTGCGGGGAGGGGACGCTCGTCAACGCTCAGCGGGGGCGCTCAACCCCCCAAAAATAAGCACCAAGAATCAACCAAGGACACAAGACGGAGGGAAACACCTTCCCCGGGGGTGCCTACAGCCCCAGGAAAGGGTAAACAACCCCCGCCAAAGCCGGTGTTGCACAACAACCGACGCCGACAGGAGACGGGGCCGGAAAGCGGACGTGGCGTTGTGCAACCTCGGCGGTTTCACATCTCCCTCGGCACAAGGGTGGATTTGTTTCTGTTCCCCGAGCTATTTCTTTAAAAACAGTGGTTTTTTTAAAATAAATAGTGGTTTTCTTTTAAATAAAGGGGTTTTTTCCCCACCCCGGCTGCTGGTTTCAGCTCGTTTAAGCCCCCACATTGGGCTCCACCTCGGCTGATGCTCCCAGCACTCAGATTTTGGGATACGGAAGGATTTTGGGGAAGGCGCCGGTGATTACTTGTGAAATTTGATGGTGAAGTTCTTGTAGCCGCGGTCCAGCTCAGGGGGAAGAGGTTGGGGGTCCTCAGGGTCCACTCCCAAGCAATCTGTGGGGAGAAAAAAAGTCCCAAATCCCCACCGAGACCCCTTGGGCCTCCTCAAACCCGTGAGAAGGAGCTACAAAATCCCCCCCCAAAAAATGGCCTGTGGGAGGGGGAAATCTCAACCCCGACGCTCTCCCCGAGCCCCCAAACCTGTGACGATCTTGGGGTCGATGTTGAAGGTGTCGTTGGCGGGGTCGATGCGGCCCTTGCGGTAATATTGTTGGCACAGCATGAGGGCCGAGCGGTTGGCGCCGCTCTCCTCCCGCACGTAGGCGTAGCGGCCGATGGTCTCGTTGGGGATGGCCAAATACTGGAGGAGAAGCAGCAAAATCATGGGATCACTGCAAGGTTTGGGTTGGAAGGGACCTTAAAAACCATCGAGGTTCAATTCCCCAGGGGTAGGGACACCCAAAACCAACACAGGTTGTCCAAATTTGGCCTTGGGCACTGCCAAGGAGGTGGCACCCACTGCTTCTCTGGGCACCTGCCTCATAAAAAAGTCTCTTTCTCTTGCACTGGACGGAATTTGGGGAGGTACCTCGCTGCGTTTTCCTTTGGCTGTGTCCTAAATGCAAAGTAAAATAGGAGGAACAAGGGGAAACGGCCCCAAGCTGTGCCAAGGGAGGTTCAGGTCAGAGATAAGGAGGAAGTTCTTTACTGAGAGGGTCGTCAGGAGCTGGAACAGGCTGCCCAGGGAGGTGGTGGAGTCACCATCCCTGGATGTGTTTAAAGAGCGGGTAGATGAGGTACTTAGGGATATGGTTTAGGGGGTAGACAGGAACGGTTGGACGTGATGATCTCAGAGGGCTTTTCCAACCGAGCGATTCTGTGATTCTGTGAACCACAGACAAAGGGAGCCCACGTGGCCAGGGGCGATACTGAAAGCCACGTGAAATGTCACATTCTGCCCGCAGCAGGAAATGGCCACGGCTTCGCTGCGGGACTGGGCTGCAGCTTCTTTGGTCAAAAAAGTGGGTGGAAAATTTGATATGGATAGTATGTGTGTCTATATAGTGTGTATATCTATAGTGTATATATACTGCAGCATATAGACTATACTGTATCTATATACTGTATCTATATCTAGCTCTAGCTCTATCTCTATATCTATATATCTATCTCTATCTATACCTATATCTATATATCTATCTCTATATCTATATATCTCTATCTCTATCTATATCTATATATCT